ATGTAATTTTATTAAAGTACAAACCTGGTCTCTAAGCCTTCTCTTCTCCTCGTGTTCAAGGCTTACTAGCGTGAATCGAAAATTATCCTCCCAGTTCACCTCAAATAGATAATTCGCTAGTCCGTCAATAAGGGTGCTTTTTCCACTTCCGGTTGCTCCAACCAGCATGATGGTCTTTTCGCTTACACAAAGCCGACCAGAACCTATAGAGATATGTTTTTGAAAAAAATCGTCATATCAAGTGTGTTTATAGTAGGTGTTTACGCACTGATTTTGATTCACAAACAAGTCTTATATCAAAGCATGAAGTGCAAAAGATCTTATTACTGTTCTTTCAATTATTATGTAAGGTTATTTTAAATCTGTCATCAAAATATGAAATTAACAAACCTATAGAAAGCTTCTTTGACTTTATTTTGTCATTTCTGGCGCTCGTGACGTCTTTTGTGGGAAGTCGATAAATATCTGGATTTCCACGCTTCACCAAAATTGAGCGATCCTTTATTTTCAAAGCTGGAGACTCGGGTGTATCAAAAATAGAACTTTCACGACTAAAAGGATATTCTTCACCTTCTCTGGCATCCACGAGTCGGACCCGGAAAGAGTAAGAGGAGCTTGCCTTCAGACCGGATACAGTGGCTCGTGATGCATCATGGGGTGTTGTTTGGTTGTATATAGTCCATCTCCCGTCAGGCATCTCTTTGTACTGAATTTGGTATTCAAAGTCTGTTGACAAATGAGACACGTGTTTCCACTGTATCGTTATACAATCAGAGTTGGCTTTAATCAAGAAAGGTTTTCCTGGAGCCATTCCTCTTTCACCTTGCTTAAAATAAAAAAAATAAAATATTTATAATTTTGACTGCAGAACTCCGCCCGACATATCAACAAATTCAAAGTTGCTTAAATTATATAAGTTGAGCAACCCACCTTGTCTGAATTTGAAAATACGTCATCAGTGTCCGAGTCATGTGGGTATGTAGATACTGAGGACCACCTAACATGAAAAAAAAAAGCATGAGACGCTGGTAGGTAAATTAATGTTGTGGAAAAAACTATTTTAAAGTTGCGGATGTTGCAACTTTTTCAAAGAGTATACATGTATATACTTTATATGCCATCCATCTTGGTTTTGCAGATAGTGTTGTTTGTAATATAAGTATGTTAACTAACTGGTTCAATGAATGGCCGAAAACTTTTTTCTTCGATTTCCCAACATTAAATCTTACTTTTGGAGACAAGTTCTGTAGTAGTTGGATTGACAAACAAAGACATTTATGTAATCATGATGTAAAAAGTTTACTTTTGCGTTCTGGGAACATGAATACCTGATACAATACTAGTAATCTTTTTTTTTCTGAAGATCATTCAAAGCTTTATTAAGCCAACACAACTGTCAACTTATCACTAATTTCTGTCATATTTCTTACATAAGGCACCTCAAAGGAGAAGTTAAGCGTGTATTTGTCAAAAAGACATTTACAATCGCATTCATTTTGTGTATAATTTGTGTAAACCAACGAAAATATTAAACTCCAATTTGGTTTCTCAATTAAACTCTTTATTTAAACAGACGCAGGCTAATGACTTATAAGTTGACATCACACGGGTTTCAACAATTTCAACAGTTCTTCAATTATGTTGCCATTAAAAAAAAGTAAAAGTTTAACCTATTAGAACTTCAAGTACAAGGTATGCGGTTCAATGCCCTGCGTAGGCGATCTTCTGGAAGCCAGTTTGGAGAATACGTTTTTTTTTCAAATATTAACCCCTCTAAGACGTTATCTTTTGAGTCAGAGGAATTTTTCCTATGGTGGACCAAGGGATTATTTGCATTGCGAGTGTTATTCAGTACGAAAATCTTCAAAAATAAAAAAAAAATGCACAAAAAGGGGGAAGGCAATATCAGCAGTAAGTAAGTTTTACAATCGTATGAAATCCTGGGTCAACAAAACATCATCCTTTATAATTGTACCTTTCGTAGCCGACCTGTGACCTCCTTTCGGAAAGGATATCAAGGATTTCCTCCTGATTACATCGCAGATCGATCCCATGTTCTCGGAAGATTTCTAAATAAAAGCATTACAAACAAAATATATTTTAAAAAGATAAAACCCCTATAATAATAGCATATAAATGTAAAGCAGACTGTGTATAAAAACTTAATTTTTACAAGTCTTCCTACCATTGTTCCGTTTTGACCGAAGAGCATGACTTCTACTGCACTTGTTACCAAATTTACAGGCCCCCTTCACAAAATAGCCGCAGAGATGTAAGAATGGACAGTTATCGTTTTTACTGCATCCTCCCGCGGTGTTGTAGAACGTACAGACTTGTGGTGGGCGTGAAGTCCTCGATCTCTTGTTATGATGCTGCTGCATCCATTCTTTGATTTCCACTGGGTCTATCTGATCTAAGCTATATTCTCTCAAAATTTGCAAATTATGCTGTGAATGTAAGTCATGCCCAAAGGAACATTTCGCTGGATTTGCTCTGCACTTGTTTTGAATGAAGTATTTACAAATATGCAGATCTTTACAGCGAGGGTAGCCTCCACATTTTCTTGGCTCATCACATATTTTCAACTCAAACGCCAAGCCGACTTGGGTCTGTGGCTTACCTTTTCTGGCATCCACAAAGTCAAAAACATTAGGGTACGACTGTAATATCTTAAAAAGATTTCCAATGTCTAAATAATTAAGCTGCGGGTGCTGACGAATCAGGGGTAAAAGCTGGGAGAGCGTCAACTGGCCCCCGTTTGACACGATAAAGTGAACAGCATTCTTTACCACCAACAGAGAAGGGTGCTGCTCTGGTGTAGCGAACCTCTGGGCGCTTCCTCCTCTTCTCATTCCCGGTACAGAAAACAACAGACGAACCACCTTAAACCACTTCCACTTTCTTAAAATTGCTTCCTATGCACTTTTATATGTACCTGTAATCGTGTGTAACAACCTGACTTATCGATATTCAATGTCACACTGGTTTGTTTTACTTTCGTTTATTTTTCCACGAATGATAATATATATACATGTATTACGGCGGTATATTTGGGACATGCACATATTTTACTTTTTTAATATTTTTTATAATAAAATATCGTACATAAATGACTAATCGTGCCGTTGGCACAACAGAATTTCTTCTGTGGTAAATGTTTAGTTTAAATCATGGTTTTTTAATTATTTATTTTTTAGTACAGAAACAAAAGCGCGTAATCTTAAATTGTGAGTAAATTTATGACATTCTTTAAATCTAATTTTGGGTTTTAATCTATCTATTAACCTATAATTAAATAAGCTCATCAATAACCCGTACATGGAACATTTTTTTCTTGCTGAAGAGGCCAGATATGTTATTTTTGAAAATTGATTCTTTTCTTTTTTACGATCCGTTCATTATCAAATAAAAAGGAATGCTTTATATTTTTTAATCGACCGATATTAAGAAATTGTTTTGAAATTATTTTTTAAAATCGCAGATATAATGATTATGCAATATTTTAATACGATAATAACATTTATTTTATGAGATTATAGCAAGTATAAAATAGTAGGGAATTGGCATTAAATATTGGAGATTATATGTAGGCCCTATATACTTTTGAAAGTGAGTGAAAATGCGTGATTGCCAGGAAACGGTTTATGCGTTATTATACAAGTATGGACTTCAGTGTAGGTCGATATGTGGTTATAAGGACTCGTGGCAATTGATATTGACCGAAGACACATAAAGTGATAGCGACCGAGCCTGCGAGATCGCTATCATTTTCTGTGTCTGAGGTTAATATCAATTGCCATGACTCCTTTTAACCACATATCGACCGTTCACTTAAGTCCATAATAGTTATATTATATAATCAATCAAAGTGAATGCACTGACACAGTTCTAACTAAACAGACATGGCTGTCATTACGTCACAATGGTTAAAAACACGCTTCTTGAATTATGACGTCACGTTCTACGTAACTTCAGTGCAATCGAACGGCGTACGTGTCGTGCGATATCATTTTCGGCAGACTCGCTTTCGCGTCGATATCACAAAAAAAGGAATATCACGTGACGTCCTTTCAGCCAATGAAAATTACGAAAATAATCCTCTTATATAACACTATGTGTTAGAAATAGGAAATGGTGTATGCGTTAAAATGCGTGACTGCGGGGAAGGGGGTTAAAACTCATAGGGGGGGGGATACACCTACACCCTCGCATCCTCATACACACATCTTGAAACGTATTTTCAGATCCATGCGAGACGAACTACTGTCAAAGAAAGTTAGAAGTTGCTAAGGTGTTGAATTATCTAAACCCCAAAGCCTTAAAACCATCTTCAGTTTTCTTAAAATATTAAACTATTAAAACAAACTTTATTTTCTGAAATTTCATAACAGAGATATGATACACTTTACCAATGTCTTAATACAAAATTCTTTCAAAAGAATTTATGTTGTGCAAACGACATTATATATTTTAGAAGAAAAAATAATGTATGTCCTAAATATACCACCGTAATGTGGTTCGTTCACATAGCAGATTGTTTTAAACATCCAATCATCAAACGCGTAGCTAAAAGCTTTATAAAATTATCCCACCGAGTGTATACGGCTCAAGGAATAACTCGATAATAAGTTAAAATAACTGTGTGTTTTAATGTAATAAAACATTAAAATACAAATTCACTATTTATGGAAACATTCATTCAAAAATTAATAAGAAACAAATTATATACATATTCAAAACCGTTCTAAAAGCTCTGAATTTAAAATATACTGTAGATCACTTAATTTTCGCGACACCTTATTTTCGCGAGATAGTCATTGACTCTTGATTAGCGAGACAAAATTTTCACGAATTGTAGTTATTGCTCTATATAATCTTAAGGAATGCTATAATACGCGAGTATTAAATTTTCGCGAGCACACTGTCTCGCGTAATTACGCGAAAATAAAGTTCTCGCGAATAAATAGTGATTTACAGTAATTCAATTTTTTGGGGTTAATTCTTGTTACCTCGCTTTATCCTTTATACAACAAATTTTTAAAAAACGTACCTCAGAAAAAAAATGCAAATAGGATAATATCAAATTAATTTTAATATTACGTATCCACTTGCATTTTCATTCAATGCATGGTGTGATCTATAGTGGGGACGTTTACGACACGCTCACAGCATAATAAATGATAGAAAGTACATCACAAATTAAAATAAACAAAAAGAAAATAATATCGAGAATCGCCCCAGACATTCGGCATTTCTTTGTTTCAGAAACTTTGTCTTTTTCTTCTGACGAATCGTCTTTATTTGTAAAACAATGGAAGTGCACAAACAGGACAATGGCTTCCAATATAACAACCACTCCACTAATAACCAGCTGTGTAATCAAGTATATTGTAAAGAATGGTACTTTTTCTGAGGACTTCGGCATGGAATCGTTAATTATCGTCAAAAATACTGCAAAGGTTAAAAATATGGCCATACAAAACCCCATTTTCTCACCAGAGTCAATAGGTACCACAAAACAAAATAAGTTTAACACTGATAAAATAAGCACAGGTACCAGTGTTGAAATTACGACGTAAAAGGACTTCCTCTTCAAGTGAACATAAAAATGTAATTGTTTTTGGACGGCGCCAGTCGTTGGATCGTTATAATCGTACATCAAAACAGAAGTGTTCCGAACGTCCCAAACTTCGTTGGGTCTAAGATACTCAAGAAGGAAGCCAGAATATTTTTCATCAAAATTAAGATATTCCGTGGTAGGATTAATATTACCAAACCACAGACCACAGTAGTGAGAATCAAAGGGATACGTAGTGACATCTATTGTACACTGGGACACACTCTCCATGTTTTTCATGTAGGAAACGTATCCAAATGAACTCACTGTAACCGGGTCTTCGTCTGCATTGAAACACTTCTCATTTCCGATTTCATTAAAAATACAAATAGAAGTCGGAGACCAAATCTTGTCAGCTTTCATTTGAACCGCGCTGATATTCCTGTAAGAATTAGGATCCCATCTAAGACGCCAGTCCGTCCATGTTAACACAATCCAATACGATCCTTTCACAGTTTGCTGTTTTTCGTTGACCTCTGAAATTCCCATAAGGTTTAGATACACATTGACAGAAATTCCCGTATCAGCTGATTCAAATGGAGCGATGGCTGGGTCCATTTTATTTATAACATCCTTGAACAGTGTTTCCCTGTTCAGTGCCTTTGTGCATCCAAGAAAAGATAGCAGCAAAACTACTAGGCATGTCCCAAGGGTTTGATGTCCCAGGTTAATTTTTCTGTGCATTTTTAAAAATCAAATTTCGATTGCTTTGGCACAGATACAAATCAATGTAAATATACGTCCTGAAAGCAAGTTTAACAAAGGGAAAGGACAGTGGTATTCAGAATTAAACTGTCCTCAACTGAGAATGGTCACGCCTGTTTGCTTGGTAAAGGATTTAGTTCAACGGTACCCGTCCTGTATAATTGCGCACGATAAACACTTCTCATCGCATTAGAGGCACTTAGCCATTGAGTCGACTTGTCACATTGAAAAACGGGTGCATTGTATAAGGTCGAGGAAATGAAGCATAGCCTAACATCGAGATTTTTAAAAATTTGAATAGACCTAGTCAACAACTTTTATAACAAATCTCTTAAATAAACACATTAAAAGGTTCTGTGAAAATTATTTTTGCCTTCATGGCTCTATTTATAGCAAAACAGAAATTTAAAACCCATCCCAAAAGCTATTTTTACCTACTTTTTCGCGGCTAAACGCGGAAGTGTCGGAATATAGTGAATACGAAATCTTGATACAGGCTCACTGACGATGAAGTCGGCGAATATTACTGCTACATGTAAATAAACTCGGCTGTGCATCGATAACTCAATCCTTTCTTAAATCGTTAGGGATTCAATCTAAAAGGTAAAAAGCCTTAAATTTCATAAATTTAAGTTAAATTTAAAAACTTACCTTACCTTTAAACTACATTCGACGTTATATCAAAATTTAAGTCATACCTACAGGTATTGGTCTACCAACTTTTATTAAGAAAATTATATGACGTCAAGTGCAAGTGTAAAAAGCATCGTTCATAAAAGAATTTTGGTCGATTCTTCACGCATTATATACCTCTTTTAACCTGCACCTCCGTAAAGTCTAGAATCCTATATATTGCAATATTCCATGATCTCATGCATGCACATCATGTCTCTGTCTCAGCTAACAAGAATAAGATAAGATAAGATTTATTAATACCAATTTGGGGCCCATCAGGGCATACAAGAAATAAGAAAAAATATACAAGAAATTCAAAATTGATAGTAGCAACTAACAAAAGATAAATGATGATACAGCAGTTGGGGATTGCAACATATATAATCAACATACTGTAAATATAAAGCTTTTTTTTTTTTTTTTTTTTTTTTTAGAGTATAAACATTATTTCTCTTTTGTATTTATTTGTTTCTTTGTTTAACATTGCATAATTTGCTATTTCTTATTTTAAAGATATTGATTAAAAAATTACCCAGCTTGATAAGCAACATGTCATTTTCGTTAGACATAATCCATAAAAATTTTTCTTTATTTGTTAAAGTATAGAAATTTTTATTACTTTTATCAATAATCATGTTTATATAATGGACATTCAATCAGTGAGTGTATCTCATCTTCCACACAGTTCATGTCGCACATTCTACAAATTCTTTCATTTCTTGTAAGGGTGGTTTGCTCTCCTACAGAGTTTAGTTTTTTTCCGTATACGATCATACATGTATTTTAAACCGAGGAAGAATGTTGATAAATAAGATGATGTTACAGGAATTTCAACAATCACTTTTAAATTCAGCACTTTTATTTTATCTAGTAGTTAACATAACTTTGATTGCAAATATCTTATAAATGTTTACTATATAATATTGTCATCCTGTTGTTTTCATATTTATTTTAAGAAGGGATTTCAATTGCAAAATCAAGAACAAGAGATGTTTACACCTAATTCTACCTGTGTTCACCTGGAGATTCCAGGCGTTGTTGCCCTGATCATGACTTGTATATATTGATTGCAGAATTCATGAGATTAATCACTGGTCTTCATGTTTCTTTTTTTCATTACAAAGACTCTTTCAAATGGCGTATGCTAATGGACAGGTTGTTTATTTTAACAATCCCTGCAAACGTTTCATTGTTGATCAAATGGTGTATATGTATGACCCCCCACCCCCCTTCCCGAGTTTTAACCCCCTTCCCCGCAGTCTCACATTTTAACGCATACACAAATTCCTATGTCTAACACAAAATCACGCTGCTTGACGCATATACCGTTTACTCGCAATCAAGCATTTTTCACGCACTTTCAAAAGTACTAGTATACCGCAAATACGCGAGTAATCTCCAATTTAGTGTCGATTACCTACTATTTTATACTTGCTAAAATCACATAAAATAAATGTTATTACCTTATTAAAATATTGCATCATCATTATATCGGCGTTTTTTTATTCTAATTTCAAAACAAAACAATAGTATACATATACACCCTCGCATCCTCATACACACATCTTGAAACGTACTTTCAGATCCATGCGGCGCAAACTACTGTCAAAGAAAGTTGGAAGTTGCTAAGGTGTTGAATTATCTAAACCATCTTCAATTTTCTTATACGGCTACTAAAACAAACTTTATTTTCTGAAATTTCATAACAGAGATATGATACTTCTTTACCAATTTGTCTTAACACAAAATTCTTTCAGAAGAATTCATGTCGTGCAAACGACATTATATACATGTATTTTAGAAGAAAAATAATGTATGTCCTAAATATACCACCGTAATGTGTTTCGTTCACGTAGCAGATTGTTTTAAACATCCAATCGTCAAACGCGTAGCTTACCTTTATGAAAGAATTGAGGCGTACGAGGCGAGGACAATTCCCCGCTCTGAGAAAAGACGTTTCTCAATTCTAAAACTTATATTTTTCAAAAACTAAATTGTTTATATCACCTTTTACACATTTAATTCTGTATTTCATTGTTTTAATATTTTATTAATAATTCATTTTTCACTCATGTTTTTAAAATATGTGACACCAAAAAGAAAAAAAACTTCACGTATGATTCGAACTCTCTCCATAGCGCAGGGTTTCCTCTAAGACCGACCGACTAAGCTACGGAGTATATGCATTATCGTCGTCTGTCAGTGTGATTTAAATGAACGCGTTTGTTGAAGCGAATAGTATTTTTTTCCGGTTCAGATTCCATTTTTTGGACAAATGAAATAGATTTCACATTTACGTTTCCATCATTTAAGCGTTAACGAAGAATGGAGACTTGACCCATTCATGTTCAAAATTCATTTTTATAGCTTTAGTAAACCCATTTTCCACTAAATATGCTTAACTGTCAGCTTTGAAATAAAGATTATCAAATAATAAGTCGTTCGATAAAATAAAATGATAAAATGTTTTGAAGGTGACATTACTGAGAACATGAATTTAGAAAAATATAACTTTTCTGTGAAATTTGAAAATTAATAAACATTTTGTCTCAGAGCGGGGGACTGACCATGCCTTATACGCCCTCTTTCTTATCCCACCGAGCGTATACGGCTCAGAAAAAAATAATTCGATATGAAATAGGTTAAAATAATTGTGTTTTTAATGTATTTCAACATTAAAATACAAATCCAGTATTTATGGAAACATTCATTTAAAAATCAATAAGAAACAAAATATATACATATTCAAAACCGTTCTAAAAGCTCTGAATTTAAAAGATGATTTAATTTTTTTGGTTAATTCTTGGTACCTCGCTTTATCCTTTATACAACAAATCTTCTTTAAAAAACGTGCCTCAGATAAAAATGCAAATAGGATAATATCAAATTAATTTTAATATTACGTATCCACTTGCATTTTCATTCAATGCATGGTGTGATCTATAGTGGCGAGATTACAACACGCTTACAGCATAATAAATGATAGAAAGTACATCACAAATTAAAATAAACAATAAGAAAATAATATCGAGAATCGCCCCAGACATTCGGCATTTCTTTGTTTCAGAAACTTTGTCTTTTTCTTCTGACGAATCGTCTTTATTTGTAAAATAATGGAAGTGCACAAACAATACGATGGCTTCCAATATAACAACCAATCCGCTAATAACCAGCTGTGTAATCAAGTATATTGTAAAGAATGGAACTTTCTCTGAGGATTTCGGCATGGAATCGTTAATTATCGTCAAAAATACTGCAAAGGTTAAAAATATGGCCATACAAAACCCCATCTTCTCACCAGAGTCGATAGGTACCACAAAACAAAATAAGTTTAACACGGATAAAATAAGCACAGGTACCAGTGTTGAAATTACGACGTAAAACGATTTCCTCTTCAAGTGAACATAAAAATGTAATTGTTTCTGGACGGCGCTAGTCTTTGGATCCTTATAATCGTAGATCAAAACAGAAGTGTTCCGAACTTCCCAAACTTCGTTGGGTCTAAGATACTCAAGAAGGAAGCCAGAATATTTTTCATCGAAATTCAGATATTCCGTGTTAGGATTAATGTTTCCGAAATAAAGACCACAATAGTGAGAGTCAAAGGGATAAGTTGTGACATCTATTATACACTGGGACACGCTCTCCATGTTTTTCATGTAGGAAACGTATCCAAATGAACTCGCTATAACCGGGTCTTCGTCTGCATTGAAACACTTCTCATTTCCGATTTCATTAAAAATACAAATAGAAGTCGGAGACCATATCTTGTCAGCTTTAACTTGAACCGAGCTGATATTCCTGTAAGAATTGGGATCCCATCTCAGACGCCAGTCTGTCCATGTTAACACAATCCAATACGATCCTTTCACAGTTTGCTGTTTTTCGTTGACTTCTGAAATCCCCATCAGGTTTAGATACACATTGACAGAAATTCCCGTATCGACTGATTCAAATGGAGCGATGGCTGGGTCCATTTTATTTATAACATCCTTGAACAATGTTTCCCTGTTAAGTGCCTCTGTGCTTCCAAGAAAAGATAGCAGCAAAACTACTAGGCATGTCCCAAGGGTTTGATGTCCCAGGTTAATTTTTCTGTGCATTTTTTAAAATCAAATTTCGAGTGCTTTGGCACAGATACAAATCAATGTCCTGAAAACAAGCCTAACAAAGGGAAAGGGCAATGGTATTCAGAATTAAACTGTCCTCAACTGAGAATGGTCACGCCTATTTGCTTGGTAAAGGATTTAGTTCAACGGTACCTGTCCTGCATAATTGCGCACTATAAACATTTCTCGTGGCATTAGAGGCACTTAGCCATTGAGTCGACTTGTCACATTGAAAAACGGGTACATTGTGTAAGGTCGAGGAAATGAAGCATAGCCTAACATCGAGATTTTTAAAAATTTGAATAGGCCTAGTCAACAACTTTTATAACAAATCTCTTATATAAACACATTAAAAGGTTCTGTCAAAAATTATTTTTGCCTTCATAGTGCTAATTATAGC